GTACTTGTAAAGGAACAAATATATTTCTTTAGTGTATTCTATTTAATGAAACTTCAAACTGGGCATACTCAGAGCATGAAAAGAGGAAGAGAAAAATGGAAAGCAAGCAATGATATTCATTTTCTCCAACCTCCATCTCTATCCTTCAAAGTTGCTTGAGACCAGGTCGGTGCATTTTTGCAGTGCATCATTATACAGTTTGCAACATTTCAAATTGATTTTCCCCTAAATAAATCTCTCACTCACTAAGACATCGAATCCACCACTTTTAACCACTCATGTCTTTCTTTATAACATTGTTTGCTATGGCGACAACATAGAAATATAGAAAGAGTATCACTTTATAAATAAACGTATCAATTTCAGGCTGGCTTTTTTTTCTGGCTTCAGGCCGAGGACTTTTTCTTCTGTTAAAATAAATTTGGAATTGTTGGTCTCTGTCAATCGATGATTAATGGACTTTGGTGTGATTCGCCTGGATTCGAGGGTAGAATTCTTCTCCTTGGTGATTTCTATGCTCATTATTATCATGATTGGAATCTCATACCAGACAGAGGAAATTATGACTTTTGCTTGATTTGGAACAAGTTATTTAACCAGGGACGAGTGTCAAAAGGTTTGAAATTCAGTTTCACTGTCAGTCTAACCTTTGACCACATTTCTCTGATATAGAAACCGGGTATCACAGGATGTCAGGGGAACAGAGTTAATATCAAAATTCTTGGATTGTGATCAATTTACTTAAGGACTGGTAATATTTCTGAATTGTCTGCTTGTCCCAAAGTCGAAAACATAGATGCTTGTGAATATTGAGTCATAATAAGAAAATTTCAATCTTCAGAATACTTTCAGATTCAATCCAAGTTTGAGACCTTTGGCAGTTAACTAATCTCCATCAGTAAACAGTGTAAGAAAACACGTTCTAACCATCTGTAGCTGATTAGCTGGAGGACTCTTAGCCCAATTTTGGTGTTTTTAGGGTTTCCAAGTGAAATACAAGATGCTCAGTTAAAATTGAATTTCAGATGGACAACAAATAATTTTTTAGTGTAAGTATGTCTCATGCAATATTCGATATATATACTAAAAATTATTTGTTATCTGAAACCCATATATTTGTACTTAATAGATAAAGTGCAAATGAGTTCTATATTTTTATTTCCTAAATCTAGCATCCCTAGGGAAGAGCAAATTTATACTCAAGAGTAGCTCAGACGGTCAAAAAATTTAAAGACAAAGTTTAATGTACACACAGCATTCTTAGAAGAAGAGCAACCCAGATTTTCCCATGACCAGGAACCCTGAAAACAAATGTAACCTTTGTGGGATGAGAGTATAGCCTTTTCGTGTTTGGCAAACCAGAGGTGTCAGAAAGTCTAGTAAGCTAGTATCATCTTTAATAGTTTAGCTTGAGGGTTCTTAACCATTTTTGTGTCATCATCTTTTTTGGCAGACTGGTAAGGCCTATGAAAGCCTTCCCAGAATGTGTTTAAATAGATTAAAATCAAATAAATATGATTACAAAAGACGCCAATAATATTAAAGTTCACTCATTAAGATATTTTTAAAATACCAAAATTGTGCTTCCTTTTCAAGCATTAATTATTAAGATCTGGCCTTTTGAAGGTGTGGTGAGCAGAAATGTTCTTTCAAGATCTCTCAACAAATACAGTGGCAAGTTGAAAGACTTGTGATTTCTACCATGACAAAGTCGCAGTTGCGGCTACTATGATTGTGCTGTGTTGCACAATCGTAGTAAAAAAAAAAGTATAAATTTTAGTTAGAGGTGATTGAGAATAAACTGTTCCTATTTTTCCCCCATCCTAGGTCATGGATCCTCCTGAATTCTACCCATAATCTCTCTAGGCAATGGGTCCCTGGGTTTCAACACTGCTGTCAATCAGGCTTCCACATACAGTCATTCTGATCATGTCACAGAAATCGGGCTAACCTATTGAATCCTTCTGGATTGATTTCCCCATAGACACTCTCTTGACACTTTTAACAACTCCCTTTTAGGTACTGCTTCTTCCTGAAGAACAGCCGGTACACTTAATAATGAGAATCACAGTTAATTCCTCTGCCAATAGGACATTACCGCATGCACTAGTGTTCACAGGACCACTGCACTGGTGCTTACATAATTGGAACAACACCAATGGGGAGACATTCCAATGCCCCCTGCTCTGGAATTAATGGTACAGTTTCTCTTACATGGAAACAAAAGAGGAAATAGAGCTCAGATACATATGTAATTCTCCTTCTTCAGTGCCTCACATGTTGCATTTCTCAGAATTGTGAAGCTGGATTTTTACAGTTAATCTACTATCCAGTCACAAGCAACTGTATATTACCATGGTTTCATCATAGCCCTGCCCAGGAAAAAAGAACGCTTAGTCATCTACAGGGTAGTAATTCAGACAATACTCCTCTTCATAAATCCTTCAGCAGCCTCCACTGCTGACAGGCTAAATCCTGAACACCTTTACAAAGCAAAAGACTCATTTAAGCCCTGAATCTCACTCCCTCAACTTTGTTCACTTCAACATACAGCCTGGGTGTATACTTGTCTTTTTCTGAACTGCTCAATGCCCTCATGGCTCCATGCCTAGGAGCATGCAATTCCTTCCAAAAGTTTCTCCTTTCTCTCCCCTTCTAGGTTAACTCCCACCTGTCCTTAAAATGTCAGGTTGAATATTACCTCATCTGGATTTTTAAAAAATTAAACATTTCTTTGGAGGCATTGTAGCGCAAAGGTTAAAAGTACAGAGTCCTTATTCTGTTAATAGGAACTATGTGACTTTGGACAACTTACTTAACCCATCTGAGACTCACTTTCCTCAGCTGCAGACAAGCAATAATCATAATTCCTATGCCTGATAGGGTTGTGTGAGGTTAAAATATATAACACCATCAAACTCTACCTGTTCGTGCTAATTATTAAACATGAACTAGCTATTATCGTTATATGTTTACAATACAGAAAACACTCAAAATATGACTGACGGAAGGGAAATCACATTTACCACAGATGACAGCAGAGGGTTAATAATCTGATTATAGAATGTTCTTATAAATCAGTAAGAACCCTTGTCCTCTAAATGGACAGCAATTCAATAAAATTAAAAAGATGGAAAAATCTTGAAGACATTTCATCAACATTTATTCATTCATTTCTACACCAAGAGCTTATCACCCACTCTCCAGGTGGTAAGCACGGTGCAGGGTGCTGGAGATCCAGCAGCGAATAAAACTGCTAGTGCTTGCTCTCATGTAGTTTCTAGTAGAGCAGGGAAGGCAGGTATTCAGTAAATCATTAGACGAGTTACATAAAGACATTTGTGGGAGAACTAGGGAAAAAGGATAGATGAGAGAATAGAACATGGGGTGCATGTCCTAGTCTGGGGCTCCAGGAAGGCTTCCCTGGGATTCCATTCATGTGGAGACGTGAAGAAAGAGGAGCACTGGCAGGTAGGGAAGCTGGCAGGGAGAGAGATGAGTGTTCTGGGCAGAGAGACATGGCATTTGCAAAGGCCGGAGGTGATGTGGAGCTTGCACCTTCCAGTAAGTGGGGAAGAGTGTCTCAGGGTTTCAATCAAGGAAGAGATAGGATCAGACTTGCTTTCTAAGTTAGTCATCATTTTTGACAGAATGTGGAGAATGGATTGGAAAGAGGCAAGCATCGATGCTGAAAGTCTGGTTAATTGATGCTTTCAGTAATCCAAGCTAAAACCACTGATGCATGAACAAAGACAGTGCCAGTGAATTGAGAGAAGCGAGGGGCTCTGAGTTACATGTCCAGTTGTTGTCAACAGGCATCTCTAATAGGCGGATGGTGGGACGAGGATGGAGAGGCAGATGAGGTCCCCAAGATGACTCCTGACCTCCTGGCATGAAAATGAGGTGTATGGGATGGGGTATATTTTACTGACTCGGAGGACACTGGATCTTCCTCTGTGATTTAAAAATCATTCATATGTTATTGGATACCCGCGTCGTTCAAATGTTTGATGTTATATCAGTGGGGAACTCCCTCTGGGACATAATCTCAATATAGAAGGAGGATCCAGTGCTGGGGGTTGGGAGCTTGGTACAGGTTTGAGGGAGTGCACTGGGGCTACATGGGACATATCCAAGCAGAGACAAGAACTGGGGTCTGTGTTGATGGGCTCGACGTCAAAAGAGTGGGCTGGGCAGGAGGGATGCCTTTGATGTTTGAGTCTACAGATGGAATTTGAAACATGTAAGTGGATGAGATTCTCCCAGACACAGAGTGTTGGAGGAGCAGTCCCAGACTGAGACTTGGGCAGGCAGAGGAGGAGATGCTGGCAAATGAGACCAAGAAGGAGCCACAGGTCCAAGAAACACAGCTTTTTGCTGATCAAATCACCCAAGATTTTAAAGTACACGTCAGCATTCCCTATGGACAAGCATGCAGAGATGAATGACTTCGTACGTGGCTTCTGATGGAGTAATTTGGCATCGCTTTTTTTGGTGGCAATTTGACAATGTATAGCAAAAGTTTAAAACTATTTATTTACATTCTTTGACCCAGTAAATTTACATCTAAGAATTAATAAGAAGTATGCATCTGGATTCTGTACAAGAGTGTTCCCTACCTTCGTTATAATATTAAAAAATTCAAAACAGCCTGGATCACCAATAATACAGAAATAACTTTAAATTCATAAAATATTTATAAGCTGAAATGTTACATAGTCTTTAAAAATCATGGCAAAATGCTAAACTCGTTAAATTAAAAAAGGGCATTTGATAAAGCTGAAATACAGTGTAATCTCTCTGTTTTTCTCTCTCTAAGTAAGATTAAAATGAAATGCCTCTCAAATGTTAACAGCAGTTATTTCTTCAAAGGAAAATGAAATTAAGAAGGTTTTTCAACCAGACTTTCCATTTTTATGCAGTTAATCTGAAAATTCAATTTCTCTAGCACAGACCATTCCCAAACATTCCAGATTTTACTGTAAATGAGATGTACTTACTGTGCTCTACTGAGAAACTTTCCACACACTGCCGTGGCCAAACCGTATGAAATAATCTACTCTCAGAGAGTTTCGAGTGTACGAATCCAAGAACCTAGTGTTCAGTAAGCGTTCTGGGTTATTATTTCGTGTCAACTTCAGGCTGCATTTAATTGACTGAGTTAAAAAACTTTGCACTTCACCCAAGAGGAATGCTGATCTAGCAGGTTTCCTGCCCAATGCCTTTGCTCAGGCAGGTCCCTTTATCCCAAATTCCTTCTCTGCCCTGTGCTTGGCAAACTCCTACTCATCCTCAAGGACCAGCTCAAATGTCACCTCCTCCAGCTTCCAGGGACAGTTCTTCTTGCTCCTTTCTTCTGCCTATTGCAAATTGTCCACACCTCGTGGTAACACTTACGTGTTGCCGTCATGATGTTTCAAAGTTTGGCTTTCTCCTTAAACCAGGCTCTGTGCAGTGGGTGTTCAATTCATCTTTTAACCCTAATGCCAACACAAGGCCTGTCACATGACAGGGACTTAATGTTTGAGAGAGGAACAGAGTGGGCAGAGATGCCACTCAAATGAACTGAGAGCCATCCAGACTTAGTAGTTCATTTAAAGATATGGGATATGATATGGGATAGGTCAAAGAGCATACCCATCCAAAGCTAGGCACGTTGAGGGGAAGTGGGGGCCAAAACCATCACTGACTTAAATGATTGAACTAGAAATAAAGGTCTAGACTTCCTATTTTGATTCATAGGACCAGGAATATCCTACCTTGAAGAGAAAATGAATCTTAGCATTTCTCAAGCTGATGAAATTGATAAGCACTACAGCATAAATATATTCAATTTAGCCCAAGGAATTACTTTCTAAGTGTGTTTTGTGTTCTATGAGGCCTTCAACACACTGACCATCACACATAAAGGGTTCTGGGATTCTTTTAAGCAATCTATTTTCTCCCTTAGAACAGAAGTCTTCAATGTGTTGTAATCCAGTAATCCAAGAGAGGACAACAAGAAAATAATAGAATTGTTCAAATTTATCTTCTACTGCAACTTCTCAAATGTTTATATTTTGTGCATATTTTTAAACACACAAGATCATAGTACAGGACAAAAAAGTTATATATCATGCATGTATGTGCCAAAGTGTTCATGTGTGTAGAGGGGGATTGTCAATTTTTGAATCCCTTGCTTTAGACCAATGTTTATTAAGCTTTCATGTGCAGACAGATTCTGTGGCAATCGTGTTAAAATGCAGATTTCTGACTCAGAAGGTCCGGGCTGAAGTCTGAGAATTTGCATTTCTAACAAGCTCCCAGGTGATGTGATGCTGAGGCTGGAGGCGGCTACCCTTGGAGTTTCAACTAACCTTTTGCAGCCATGGTTCCTCATCTGACTACACAGCACAGAACACAGAAGATGGTTTCAGTGACTATTTTCTCATATCTCCCACAGATGATGACTGTGACTGTCTCTAGAGCACAGGAGAGAAGGTAACTCATTTCAAGAAAAGGAAGCTATGAGGGCCGTGAAGCCTGATTTCTCTCACAGAACTCTGTTGAGAAAGGGGTCTCTGAGGAACTTGCTGGGCATATGGCTTTACCTACAGGAGAAAGTTCAAGGTCACTAGCTGACTTCAATTGAAAAAGAAAAAAAACCACTGTTTATAAATCACCGTAAAGTATTACAAAACAGTCCTGTAGTCAGCAATTCTTTTCCAGTGTTTGGCTTATATCTGGAAACTTCCTTTACAGGAAGCACAGCTGGAAACCAAGGTCTTGACCACTTCTGATCATCAAAGTTCCTGTGATGATAACGTCAAGTAGAAGAGCGCTAAGTCATGGGTCTCTTCCTTTCTGACTCATAACAGCTACCTCCATATACCCTCCCCCTCACGGGACCCTGGTGTTGGAAGTCAGTGGGTTATCAATGCTCTTTATCCAAAGAGGAGGAAAATAACACATACACACACATAGTCCCCCATGAATATTTGTGAGTTAACACAGACACACACACACATTATTGATAAATAAAATGATTCTCTTAATTCACAAGATCTATCCAGCAATTCATGTTTGTGTGTCCTAGTACAATTTTCAAAAGATCACTTTGATCTAATCGGAACTATATGCCTAAGCTTAATTTCAGAGCCAATTTGCGATATGTAACAGTGGTTGCAAATAAGTTTTCAAGTATCTACATCTTCTATACTGTGTAACTGTTGTCAAAGAAAAGTGATGTAAGATTGAATTAGAAAGATGTTTCCTCTGAAACTAGGTCCACAGTCCACACAAAGCCAACAATGCAGCCCAACAGGACTCAATCTCTAACCACCTCAACACCTAAGAGCACATGTTCGAGATTAACAAAGACAATGGAGAGGACAGAAGAGGAAATTCCAAGGGGCCGCTGCATTGGCCACTTGAAATGAGTTGGCCCCTGAATTAAACCTAGTTGGCCAATTCTTTTTTTTTTTATTTTATTTATTTATTTATTTATTTATTTATTTCCCCCCAAAGCCCCAGTAGATAGTTGTATGTCATAGCTGCACATCCTTCTAGTTGCTGTATGTGGGACGCGGCCTCAGCATGGCCGGAGAAGTGATGCGTCCGTGCGTGCCCGGGATCCGAACCCGGGCGGCCAGCAGTGGAGTGCGCGCACTTAACCACTAAGCCACGGGGCTGGCCCTAGTTGGCCAATTCTTAATGTTCTATCTTCGGCCCTATTTTCAGCCAAGAGGTCCAATTTTCAGTGGGTGAAATTGGGAATGGGAGCCTGGTTGAAAGACCTGGGCAATGCCCTCCTGTTCGTTCTGCCTGCCTTCTCCTGTTTCCTCTAAATCATTGGTAATAAAACTCATGAAATGAGAAAGGCCAAAAATACCTATCTTTGGGTTGTGGAGAGAGACAAGGAGTTTGGCTGAGGAGAATGTTTTGCATCACAAAGCCAAGCTTTGGGGAACAGAATCGAAGGGTGTGGAGAAGAGCTTTAAGGAGGAAAGAAATGACACTTTGCCTCCATTTCCTCGGTGGTTGAGTGATGACTCTTAAAACCCCCGGGAATAAGTCTGCCCACCACTCCGCTCCATCAGCATCACTAACAGGCAGTGGGCACATTTCATTCCTCATCTTACCTGACAGTTCCATAGCATTTCAGACTGTTGCTACAGTCTTCTCTCAATTTCTCCCTATTGTTCCAGCTCCTTCTCAGTTCCATTTTAGGCTCTCCTCTTCTGCCAGTCCTTTAAGTGATACTTTTCCCAAAGCACCATACTCCAAACTATTTTCTTCTCATTAAACACACACTCCTGCCTCCACTCCCACAGCTTGAGGTGCCACCTTCATCAGTCAGGAAGCCCAGACCTTGCATCTCCATCTCAAGTCTCTCTCATTACTGCCAGGCCAACAGTCAATGAATGGCTTATGGTCTCTCATTTGATTGTCCACATCCCAGCTTCATTATCCACTGCCCAGCTTTGCTCCCCTCCTCCTGCAGACCCTCAGGCACTGAAAGATACTGAAAACCCCTAGTTTACCTCAATATCCCTTGCAACCCCCTCTCCCTTCCCCCTACCACTGTCTTCATTTAGATGCACATACTTTCTTTGGTGACTGCAGCAGGATCATAATTAGCTCCCTGTCTCAAGTCATCCTCCCTGTAAGGCAATCCCCATAGTGCAGCCTCAGTGATCTCCCTAAACCCACTTCCCAGCTGACCAGCTCAGTGGCCCCCATTTTCTACAAAACAAAGCCTCAGCTCCTGACTTAATGAACACGGCATGTGAGACCCTCCAGGAGCTGGTCCCACCTACCCTTCAGCCTTGGCTCCAGCCACTCCGCAGCCTGCTACCTGCTGAATGACTCGCAGTGGTACAAATGTGTTGGTCCTCTATTGATTGACTCAATGCCTTTAAACATGCCAGGCCATCTGATGGAAAGCCCTCTCTCTTTCTTCACCAGCTTTCTCATGTCTGTCTTTTGAGACATTGCCCATTCTAGATACGTACTTTCCCTACCTGTTCTCATAGGTTAAGTGCTTTCCCCATATACTCGCCTGTGCTCTGTCTCCCTGAATATTGATCTCAGTGTAGTGGAGTTGTTTGTTTACTTGTGTATATCTAATTACAATAATACTTATCAAACTAACAACTACCATTAGTTGAGAATGTACATGTGACTGTGTTGGCAGTTCATTATTTTAACTCCAAACTTCAGAGTAACTGGTAAAAATAAGTAAATGGAGGCTCAGACAAGTTAGTTTCCCTAAGGTCACACAACTAGTCAGTAGTGGTGACAATATTTATATTTTGGTCTGTCTGGCCAAAAGCCAGTTCTTTCCATCACAAGCCATCGCCCGTCATGGGAATGTGAGCTACCATATCTTATCTTGTATATGCCAATATTTAGGTTCTAGCAGGGGCTTACTGTTTCTGAATGAATGAATAAATGAACGACTGCATGGAAGCAAATGGAGTTTGGAATCTTCCAGTTTTGGAAAAGCAGGCTTTGGTTTCAAAAAGAATGTTCCTACATATTGGTTGTATTGATGACCTAAGTAGGGGGAAAGTCACTTTGCCTCAGTCCCCTATAACACACAACTGTTACTGATGGAAAACATGGGTTGTATCTTGCCTACAAAGTCAGTTCCCTGGAAGTTCATTGTGTCACACTGCCTGCAACCCTCACCCTGAACCTGATCCTAGTCCTGTATTATTTATTTCTACCAGTGGCTCCATGATCACCCAAGCCAGATGCTACAGTCAGCCTCCCTTTCCCCCTTTCTTTATGACCACAGCCACAGGGTCTTCAGTTTTATCTCTTTAATAATTCTTGTTTCCATCCCCTGCCCCTCTACCCTTTCGTGGCTTCACCCTGCTCACTGCATCTGTTGCCTCCTCTTGAGCCCTCTCCACTCTGACTCCCTTTTAGAGCCGATCTCTCTAAATGCAAATATAACCTTTCAAAAATGAGAACTTGTCCATGTCAGTTCCCTGTGTCAGCCCTCAAATTGTTCTTCATTTCTTACATGATAAAGTCTAAACTGTTTCTCCAATGTCCAAGTCGTCTAAGGGATACCCTTGGCTACCATTTTGGTGGCATCTCTGGATGGTCCCCTCTCCATCGTCCACACGTCAACAATGATGAGCTGCTTTCACTTCTTCACACACTGCACGCTGCCTCACATCTTCCTACCCACCTTTGCTCCCAGGTCTCCCCTGCCTGGAAAGCCTGTCCTAGTGGCAGATCCCTCAATTGTCCCCATGGTTCTTCCCATGGCTCACTCCTCCCACTGCAGGTTCAT